TATATATTATTCTCGTTCACACGGAGACGAATTCTCGTTCGATTATCTTCATCTCCACCCCACCCTACCCCTTGTCACCCAGTTTCCTCATTCGATTTCACACACATCTAAAATACTTGAACGAATTTGTAATTTATTGAATGAAATATCCAGAAGAAAGGTCATTCCTATATTACATACTGCAAATTTGTAATGTAGGTAAGAAAAACAAAAAACAAAAATCAAGATAGGATTTCTCTATTTCCCTTTCTCTTCTAAATATTTATTCTATTCTTTTTAACTTTGCATTTTCTTTTCTTTTTTCTTTTTTTTACCTAAAAAGAAGATATAAAAAAATATAATATTGTAATAGTATACAAGAGAATTGGGATTATTTGTGATTCAAAATGATAAATAATTTAAGATATTATAAACTCAATCGGTTAAATTTCGCGGTTTTACTTTAAGAATATTATTTAATATCGTTTACCTCTTTTCTCTTGTTTATCCTTTGTATAAATTGATCTACAAAATTGTGATGTTTAACGTGAAATTTTTTTCTTTTTTAAATGAAACAAGGCAAGTAACGGTATTACATCGCGAACGTAATTGGACATTGCTGTTACTTACTAATAAAAAAAAAACTAAAATAATCAAAAAGAAAAAAGAAATTATTGCAGAAAAGAAAATGTTGAAGATCGAACTACGATGTAAGAATAATACTTGATATAGAATAATTCAAAAATATTCCTCATACCCTCCACCCGCATTCCCACCACTTTTGTTAAACCGTAAAACAATGAATTGAAATATTTTTGTGACGAACGAGTACTCGACTCTTCCTCCTCCTCCCCCTCCTCCTTCTCCTCAAGGTCGACCTATGAGTGCAACGAAAAGACCACCACCACCCTCTCTAACAATTCACCGACCGCGTCATCGCGTAATATTTAATAAATACTGGATGGAACGAAAATAACTTAATTAAAATTAGGATTTAATTCCGAGCCGAAATAACAAAAACACAGTTTTCCTCACAAACCCACCTCCGCCCCCCATGTTTTATATCTCTCATTGCCAGTTTATATAATCGAGCTAAACGATTTAACGAGCTCGTAAAATTTACTATATTTTAATTGAATACGCTGAGAGAAAATAATAGTCAAGGAAAATAAACGTTTTCATGAGCACAAATTTTTCCTTTTTCCCTCCCTGCATCCCCGTACCATCGTACCCTTCAACCCCGATTCTGAGAGGAAAGAAAAATAACACACACACGTTCACATAGGCTAGCTAGCTAGTTGTATATAGAAAAAAAAACGAAAAAAAAACAAAATTGTGTTTCGAATCCATTTTCACGGATTATAAATATTTTCCACGGAACACGTGCCCACCAAACAAGGTGCACGATTTTAAAATGCTATCCGTACCCTGACGTCTTTCAAATCTATTGAATCAACTTGTATAAAACAAAAAAGAAAAAAAAATTAACGGACGGAACAAATTATAAACCGTTTTTCATTGCAATCTCTACGAAACTCGCTCTCAATATAATCTATATATATATATGTATATAGATTTTTCAGGCCAAAATAACAATTTTTCAATTGAAATGAATATTTTTTCAGGTCAAGGCAACAATTTTTCATTTCAAATTAACCTTTTTTCATTTCAAAATAACAATTAAAAAAACGGTTAGAAATAAAATAATGAATGATAATTTAAAAAACTACTTCACATTATGTGCTATGTTAATTTTTAAAATTTATGTGCATTCATATTTAAAGCAGTATTTATAGAATTAAATTCAGAAAATAATAATCTTTAAAAATAAATAAATTTTATAAAAATATGCGTTGGATTTACGTCCGCTACACCACTGTCAGTATTTTTGGAATTTCATCAAACAAAATTAGAAGAAGACATCTTCATAAAAAAAAATATATTTATATACGTTGTCAACCAATGGACTTGTACCAACGATAAGTATTTATCATTGATATCATCGGTATTTATTATTGGTTACTGAATTCTCCATTGGTTAGATTTAAAGGGGATGAATCACCCCTTAACAAAATGGACAATGTTAATAATAAATGTTATTATTTTCTGAATTTAATTCTATAAATACTGTTTTAAATATGAGTGCACATAAATTTTAAAAATTAACATAGCACATAATGTGAATTAGTTTTTTAAATTATCATTCATTATTTTATTTCTAACCGTTTTTTTAATTGTTATTTTGAAATGAAAAAATGTTCAGTTGAAATGAAAATTGTTACCTTAACCTGAAAAAATATTTATTTGAAATGAAAAGTTGTTTTCTTGACCTGAAAAACCTATATATTATGTAAGTATAAGGTAGTATGAAAAATTTGTTTGTGCAGTTTGATTTCATTTGTTGGAAGATTATAAAAGAGATGCAAGAAGATTTTATTCATCTATTTCTTATTTTTTTCAAAAATATTGTCTTAGTTTTTATTGACAATTAATTGCAATGTCAATGAGTGAACCCGAAAAAAAAACAGAACAGAAGGATAAGAAAACATTGACAGACGGTATTTTTTGTTTTTAATTTACGATTAATCGAGAAATATAAAAATGCATCAAACGTACATCATAATCGTAGATAACTGAACTCGCAAAACTTGTTCATGGGCATCTTATACCAAACTGTAAACAAATTTTTCAAAACTACCAATAACTTACCTTCATACAATTTATCATGAATCGTATCTCCTATTTCATTGATAATAGAAAAAAAAGAAAAAGAAGGTAAAAGAAATTCAACAAAATGATAGAGTAACAAATGTGATTGTCGACATTACGAATTTTATATTTTTAATGTCATTCCGTTTGTTTCCCATTAAAGTGGGAATGATAAATATGCACGGGAAAAAGAAAAAAAAACAAAATCCATACGATATCAGATATGATGACTTCTTATTCAATACACTTTCTATTCGAAAAATTACTAATCATTCGTTGCTATTGCGATTAAATTATTATGATGATAATGTAAAGGTAAAACGTAAGTAATTCTTAGTGTTTCGTCTCTATAATGAGAAATACGATACATATATCGAAAGAATGATGATAATGATGATGATGATGACGATGACGAAAAGATAATGATGATGATGAAAAAAGAAAATAAATTAAAAAATTACGGACGATGTAGAATGAAATTCTGTTATAAAAAAAAGACAAAAAATTACAAAACAAATCCAAAAATATCATAAAAATCATTCGTAATAGGAGCACAACGCTCGAGTAACGTCCAATAAAAACAACACATTTATGCAATAGGTGCGTTAACAATCAAAAAAACGAATGTCGTCAATTTACGATCGTTCTAAAATTCATTCGATTGGTTAATATTTACAAGATGGTGGTAGAACGCTTTCAAAATACGACTCGTATGAAATTATTTTCAACGTGTCAGATAAACGAAATAAAAAAAAAAAAATAATTAAACGCGTCGCACTCATAATTAATCATAATAATTACGAAAAAAAAAACAAAAATAAATCATATAAAAGCACCGCGTGTGCCTAATTATATTCCAAATACACATAAAATATTCTTTAAAAAAATTGATAAATTCGTTTCCGGAATACATTTTATTCATCGTCGTATCCAATTATTACAGCATAAAAAAAAAATTTTCTAAATTTTAAACTGTCATGAAAAATTTAAGCGCATGTATAAATAGATATACCAATATAGTAAAAAAAGAAAAAGAAAAGAAAAGAAAACCCGAAATAAATTTCTAATAAAGACGAACGGATTACGTAGTAGTACCTAACTTCGAAGAAAGTTTAAAAAGATAAAAGAAAAACAAATGAGAAAAGTATCCGTAATAACATTTACCATGAAACAATTAAAAATAAAAAAATATAAGGAAAGAAAATAAATGTTATCAGAAAATTTACTACGTGTTTGTTGGTTGTAACAACACGTTTTAGTTACTAGAGAGTTTTAGGTTAATAATACTGGCAGAAGAATAATATAAATTATTCGAAATCATTAACGACACGTTATCTAAGTGCTGAATGAAAAAAAATCGACACCCTAATTGCATAAATATTATAATACTATCGAGCGTATATGCATATTCAGTAGTCTTTTTATAATAACTGCGAAAAAAAATTAAAATGGAAACGAAATCGTTAAAGAATAGATCTTAAATGTTAAAAAATAAAAAAATAAAACAAGAAGAGAATAAAAACTACTACAATAAATGGAAATAATAAATTATTTGCGAAAATTATCGTCGTTGTCATCGTCGTCGTTATTGTCTGATTTTCGTGGCTAATTTTTGCCGATATATTTGTATGAATTAATTCAAATTAAAAAATAACGAATTTGTATAAAGCAGGGGGATTATGAAACGGCATTGGAAAAAAAGGCATGTATAATTCTTATATTTCATGAAATAATAAATATTATTCTTATTTTATATCGAACGACGTTTTTAATTTAAACTTTCATTGGTTTTCTTTGTCGGGCATTTACCAACTTCGTGGAAGAGGATTAATTATTTCAATATTCTTTTTTTTTCCTACAACCAAATGCTTTTTCTTCTTATTCTTATTCTTTTTTCTTTTTCTTTTACTTGTATCTTTCTCTTTCCTTTTGTTGAGAAAAAGCAAACAATAAATATTTTCTCTTCAAACTTTTTTTTTTTAATATATATATATACATATATATATATAATA